ATTATTTGTTGAGCAATCCTAAAAGGAAATCAAAGAGAAACTTAAAGAATGTTGCTAATCCTTTGTCGCTATAAGTATGACATTTAAAAGCCACTAAAAAGCTGTGCTTTGGCAATCAAAACAAAAATATTATCTTCCCCATGACCTTGGCTGCTAGATTTCAGCCCAGCTAGCAGCGCCTATGTCTTTGAGCCAAAAGATATGCTATAGGAATGTTACAGAAGCTGAAAGGTGAGCGTACTTGTTTTATTTCTGCAGAGCACTATCTTTGCACTAGACCGTGACTACCAGCTTATTTTGTGGCTGGCACTGGGATGGGTCGTTTCTCTGAGGGCTGCAGGAGCCAGGAGATGCTCCCAGTGGGTAGCATTATTTCTACAGCAGCGAGTTTCAGGAGGGATAGCAGGGCAAAAGGTACAAACAACGTGGTCAGGAGTGTTTGATCAGTTAATGAACAGGATTTCATGAGACAATTGCCTGCAATTCAAGGAGACTGGATTTCGTGACCCCAAAAATCTCTTCTGGCCTGATACCACCCTGATGCTGATTGGTTCTACTTTAATAAAGACTTTAACCGCGAACTTCAGCTACTGAAAGAAACAGGCATGTGGCTGTTATCAACCCTGTACTGTGATTTGTAAAAACAGAAGAAAAGAAAAAAGATGTTAAAAATATCAAGCAAAATCTAAAGATGGAACAGAACAGGCTTTTATCCATTTCAGTCAAAAGTGAGTTCACTAGATACAGTAGTATTTCTTTGAATGGAACAAATAAACCTCAAAGATTTTATAATGAATACCCTTTCTACACATTTCTACAAAGCAGTCTATAAAACTGGGAATGAGAGATGTCATTCTTAAACACATGCCACAGGACACTTTTCTCACAACTTCAATTACAAGGTCTCATTTTCTATTCGATCCTATTTGGATTTTCCATAAGGAACTGTAAAAACCTCTCTCAAAATCCTGGCACCAGCGTATGCAATAGGAATCCTAACACTGACTCTGCTGGAGCAGAATCTCCCCCTTCAAGAATAAAGCCTTGGGAGGAAAAAAAATAGTGTGTTGGTTTTGTTGCTGAGCCAGCTATTTAACTCTACCAGCTAGCAGAAACAAAGGGAAACCAAATAAAACTATAAAGCGCATGTTCCTTTTGGACAAATAAGCCAAAACCCTTTGAAATTTATGGCTCTACACCATCCCTACCTGACAAGTCATACAGAAAGCTGCAGCTGCAGATATCAGCGATCACGTAAATAAATTTTATTATGCTGTACAATACTATTACAGTTAGACACACTAATCATGGGAGAAGGGGAGGTTGCTATTTTTTTCCTGTCCCATATGGTAATAATTTTGTATGACTGAACTGTTATGAGCTAAATAAAACTGCACATTAACTGTAAGATACATTGCAAATACATTAAATCTTCCCTGGAGTTTAGCAAATACTCGCTTTTTCTATGATGCATTTCGAATTAGCAAAGGAATCTACACTGGGCCATAGGATTTATAAATAGATTTGGCTTCTTCTGCAATACTTTATGGGCAATTATTTCAGAAATGAAGATGCAGAGCCACAAATAAATAAAATAATTGCAGCTGATCAGGCTTTATTTACCGCTATCCCATTTCCCTGACTGTTAAGCTTCCCTCCTCTCATTTGCTCCACTAGCCTGAATCAATGACCAGATGAAGAGTTGTCAGTTAATGTCAAACACTGAGCACAAAGGGTGCCAAAGACAGATTCTAGTTTCCCTATTTCCAAATCCTGCCTGGGCCTTTCTGGAGCTGGCTTGCTCCCTGGATAAATTCAACGTGGAATTGGGAGGCTGGGAAAGGGCGGAGCAAGTCAGATGAGCTCTGCAGGGTTTCAAGCAATTTGCCAGGGAGTACATTTTGCTGTGACTCCCCTGCAGAAGTCTCTTCCAAAGGTCTGGAGACCTCCCCTTCCACTAGCAGATGCCTGGCTGTGTCAGGGGAGGGCTCGCATGGCCTCCCCTATCTGCCACCATCCTGCTCAAACAGGTATTAATTCAGTTTGGAAGATACTGAGTACAGCTATGTATAGCAAAAACAGCTTTCCAGGTAGTTCAAATGAATCAAATCCAGGTAGAGACTGGCCTCACGCCTGCGTATTACCCTATATGCACCTCACACCATTCAGCTTTCAGTACTTCAGATCTCAGACAGGGTGGGAAACTCAGGATTATCAATTTTCCTTGGGATCAGGCCTGAAATCCTACTGATACAAACTCTATTCTCTAAAAAACAGTGGCACAGTTCAGTTTAACACAGAGATGCAACTCGTATTGCCCCCTCCAGCACTGGAGAGATGAACTGAGGCCCCAGTTTTCATTTGCAGCTGGGCACTCAGTGCTGTTTAATGGTTCTGTTACCTGGGATTCATGAAGAAGGTTGCTTGTGTGAAGAGGCTTATCAACTCAGGAGAGAGAAAAGCATAATTTCTCCTGCTTTGAAAAGCCATGGAGCTGATAACCCAGTAACAACTGAAACACATAGGATGGACCACATGGGGATGTCCTCCAAGGGCTTCCTTCAACAAGCTGATATCAGAAGTAGCCAGCAGGATGATGTTTTATTAAAAAAATTAAGCTATTTAGAAAAAAATGTCCTTTACACCACCAGTCCTGATGACCAGAGATGTATGGCCCTGATCTCTATAGCCTCCTGTCCTGGGAAGGCACACCCAGCTTTGTGAAGCCTGGATCAGAAGGGTACCCTGCAGAAAAGAGGGAGCACCAGAAACAGCCTGGAAGGTGTCTAGGGCCTGAAGAAGGTCCTACAAGAAGAGGTCTCATAGCTTAAAGCCTGATTTTTTTTTTGTAGTTCTAGGCTGCTTATTTCTATATAAAGAAATGATGCTGCAAACCTCTCCCAGAACTTTAACAGCAGCCCATAAGCTGGTGAAAGAGGCCAATGGGACCAGATGCCAAAGGAACTAGGAAGATTTACACTAGCTGAGCATCTGGCTCCCTGTTCACTGTTACCAGAATGAAAACAAATGCTTGCAAACATCCTTATTCAAAATCACTAATGTGTTCAGCGATGCTCAGCACAAATGCAGCAGTGTTGCTACTGTAAGGTGTGGTGCCTGGGAACACAGCTGCTGAATGCTCTAATGCTGCTTTTTCCAGTGGTGTATGCAATGCAAAGAGCAGTGAGAAAACAGGGTGTTGCTGCCCTTCAAATCAAGCAAAGGGAATGATTAAGACATCATCGCTTTCTGTTATTGTTCTAGTGGATGGTAGTAATTGCTTCTACACGGGAACGTGGCTATACCTCTATTGTCATCCATCATCTTGCCAAGGCTGTGTATAGTACAGTAGAAATGGTGAACTTTTGATTTGACCTCATTAGCATTCCCAGAATTACAATGTCATACCAATGATAAAGATTGAGATTATCTGCATCTCAGCAAATGGAGAAGAAACAAACCAGACACTATGTAAAGAGCCAACAGCACAACCACAATTCTGCCAAACACTTAAAGGCTGCTCGAACCCGCCTGGTTCTTGATTTCGCATGTGGGACAGGACGGAATTAAGAATTGTGCCTATATACATCAAACTTGCAGATGTAGAGGGATGGACCCATGCATTGATGATCTGAGGATCTGAGGATTCAGGGAGAGGGCAGAGAGGAAGGGAAGACATTGGAGTAGATGCTCTCTGATACCACCTTCCCTCTGACTTGTCAGTATTATCTGTGCTTCCTCTGACCTCTCCCAGGCAACCAGTGATCCACTAGAAACATGGAGAAATTTGTGTGCAATTTGGGAAATAACACAGAGGCAATAGGCCTTTGCACAAATGCCACGTGCTGCCTGGAAGTTCATAGGATTTCCTTGTGATTCCCAGCATAAATGCACATAAGGAGGGTTCCTGTTCAAACGTGAGTTGAAGGAAACTGGGACCAATTAATTGGCCCTTCTGGCAGTCAAATAAGATCAAGTCAAACCTGTACTTGTCTGAGGTCAGTCTATAGCAAAATCTATAGTGAAACAGGGAATTTCTCAGTCTCCAGCCGGCAGCTTACCCCCTGAGCTGTGCTCCCCGCTATAGCTGTAACACAATGCCAACACATATTCCAAACCACTCATTCTCGGTTACTTTAGTCTTTTATGGACCATCCTAGAGGAAATTAACTGAACTTCCCTACAGTGGGAACAAAAGAAGGAAATGAATTTATTTTTCCAGTGGTACCCTTGACACAGATATTGAGTAGCTTCATTAAACGTTTTGCAGCCCCGAGTGTCTTTACTAAACCCTCTACAACAAGCACAGAGTCATTTTCCTTATTACAACACAAACATACAGGTCAGGATGCAGGACTCATTTACATCTGCTTTGTATCTGAATAACTTCCCTCATCTCAATGGGATCTGAGCAGGTGCAAATCAAGGCTGCATCATCCTAGTCCTTCCCTTTCTCTCTAGATTCATTACCTTGCAGTACCACTCTCAGATAAACTCATTTACACAGTCAGCATAGCCACAGCCAAATGACTAATACAACCCTTTAATACAAACAACAATAAATCAACGGATTAAATTATAATTTATCAGACAAATACTATTTAGCTCTTCCCAAAGCTGTTCTGAACCACCTCTCTTGTCTGGCCATATTCCAGAGGAGCACTGACACTAGACAAAGCTCAGAGCTGTGACTAAGTTTACATAAGAAAGAAATGCTGAAAACATCCTGTATTTATGATGGGAGATTTCACAGAGATCAGAGTGAATAACATTCCTGACAAGACTATAATATATCTGAAGCCTCCTCAGTACCTTTTCCAAAGACCAGTCTAGCAGGGCAAGATTTCAACAGCCCCTGAAGCTCTACATTCAGCAGCAAGTCTAGGGAACCAGACACATTAACCTTGAGAGATACTACAGCAAACTTTTAATGGTTTAGAAAATGGCAACAGGCTATTCTACCACAATTTCACTTTACAACACAGACTTTTTTTACTCACTTCATTGGTTTGAACAATGCTTGTCCATAGTTCTGGAACGTCATGATCAGCTTCAGCTGGGTGCCTCCTGATTTCATCGCTGTGGGAAAAAAACAAAACCGCTTTAAAATGCTACATGTGGATCTACTTACATTCAGCTTCCTTGAAACAAAACCACGTATCTTTTGCTCTGTATTAGATTCAGCACTGCAGTATCTGAGCACCAAGCAGGGTAATCCTAACTGAACAACAGATTATTCAGCGGGTGCAGAGTACAGGGGTCTTTGAGCTGCCGACCAGGACTAAAAATGGATTGTACTCCCTGACACGTCTTTGTCTTCTTCAATTGGCCACTATGGGCTCCATAAGCACCCTAATTGAACGGCATGTATAAGAACAGACCATTGGAGTCTTGTTTTCTCCATCTTCAATCGCTTTTGGAGCTCCTTTTAACAAGGGACACACATTGGGAAAGGAGATGGGGTGCTTTTGAAGACTGTAGCTGGGATGTACAGTGCAATGCGCAGCAGACACCTCCTTAATTAAAAGTATGAGCAGATACTACAGCAATCTCTGATCTCTGCTGCGATTTTAATAATTGTTGCTGAGCAGTAGAGATATGTAAATTCATCTCCTCTGTGCACAGTGGATATGTATCCAAGCCCATCCATTAACTTCAAGGGATCCCAAAGTGGCTCATACACGAGAGCAGAGCTGCGCAGAGTGGGTCGCTGGCTCTGCTGGGAGGGTAGGAGAGGGCACGTGGAGGCGGCAGGGACTGTGGTCCACACTGCACACCGAGGACCTTCTTTGCTCAAACGTTAAATGCGCTCACTTCCCAGTTGAGAGCCAATGGGAATTTAAGACTGACATTTATTCATACCAGTCTGAACAATTTGGACAATATCATGTTAACAGCCAGATAATAGTGTTTCTAAAGTCAGAGCAAATTTTTTTATATATAAAAGAATTCATAAAAATGCATTTTACTTGATGATAAGGTTACCTAAGAAAGATAAATACATACTTTGGCAAACCAGCTGCTTTTTTACCATCTCAATCAAAACTGCTCTGAATAAATGAAATGACCTATACCCTGACTCCTTAATTCACTTGTGTGTTCGGTGAGGCAGGCCATGGCAGTCGTGTCTGTGTGGATGAGTCAGTCCTTTAAAAATGCTTCCTACAAATGATCAGATAATCAATCCCTTTCTTTACAGTTCTGACAAAACCTGTGTCAGCTGGAGAACTACATAAATGTCAAGTTACCTTGCTCTGTAAATTTTGGCTTAGAGCTGCCCTTGTTCCACCTATATAGGTTGTATATTTTTTTTCTCTAACCAATGCCATTAGCTGCACATCCTTTTAATTACTCATCTCTGTGCCTTATTACTGACAGGTCATCAGCTCTCTTTCGGCACTTCTAATCTATATTTTTGCAACAAAATGCTATGTAAATCTGGTCAGTGTAATTATACTTCCCCTAGAATAAAATCCCTCCTGCCTTGCTGTTTTGCTGACCCCAGCCTTCTCTTGTATTTCCAGTTTATCCCAAAGGAACAAATAAATAATTAGTTAAATAACTTGCACTGAACACGTAAAGCAGAAGCACATGATTTTCACGTATTAAACTCCCTCTCCTGTGCAGAATAGGTCAGTTGGTCTGCACCTGAGGGAAGGAGTAGGAATAGACCTTTTTATACCTACCCCGGAGCCTGAAGGCAATGAGAAGCAGCAATCCTCCAGCCAAAAACCTACATGTGCTGCCCTAGGACCATCAGAGCCCAGCTATGCACTCTGGAAACGCTCCTGGTTAGCCTGGAGAGCAAACAGGCAGCTGGAGCTGCCCTTGCCTTCTGCCTGCTGGGACCCACGGCCATGCCCAGGACGAGCCCCCAGCACCTCCCCTGCCCAGCTGCTGCCGAAGTCGTGGGGTTTGCCGAGCTCTTTAAGGTATAACCTGTATTTGCACCCCTGTTGACATGGGCTATCTCTGTTTAGGTCACTAATATCAGCCTCAGTACCAAGGGGCAGAATTGCCTCCTTTCTGTCAGATATAACTCTCCCCACCTCCACTGACCTCTGAGCTTGCAGACTGCTCACACCAACTGAAGACCAAATGTTTTTTCTCTAAAATTGATGTAATTTATGCTTCTTCATTCAATTCTGAGGAGCTCAGGGCTTAGAGATTGGCTCCCTCTCCTCCATGAGACGTATATGTCCAAAATGTATCAAAGATCCTGTAAGCCCATCAGAGAAAAGGGAAGGATAGAGCCTATTTTGAGGTACAGCAGGGAAGCCAAGCGTTTGGCAAAACACAGCAATGCAAAGCAGAAGAAAAAAGGATGTTGTAGCATGCCCTTTTCTAAGCACAAAGTTTCAGATACACTAAGAGGACTGGTTTCTCAGCAAATTGAAGCCACTCGACAGATAATGATTTTGTTAGCAGCCGAACTCAACAATGAGTGCGTCATCACCAAGTGAGGAAATGTATGAAGAAGATTAACAATTCAGAATAATTCTTCCATGAGACACAAAGGCCTGGTTTCCTGTCAGAAGGAATTGAGCTGAAGTAAGACAAAAGCATCTCCCCGCTCTTTTTAGATCCATCATATTGTATTGCCTTAATTGGTTGCAATAGTAGCCTCGACCGAACACAAGTTTTGCTGGCATGTTGTCCCCCCACTGCTGCTAGGAGTAAACTTTGGACCTCCCCAAAACAGAGGATGACATTGGTGGGAACAGTGTCCCATCATGCCTCACAGCAGTGTATTGCTGGAAGCCACATGCATCGTGGACAACAACCTGTGCCAGACCTCCATGTTGGCTTCCCTCCCCATCATCCAGACTCACGTGCAGATATTCCCACTTTGGCTGCTCGTTCAGGGTCACATATGTGCTGGCCAGGCTGGAGGTGATTCAAAGCCATCCTCCAAGTCCAGACTAGTTAGAGTCTAACATGCAGTCTAATCTCCCTGCAGAGAGGGAAACACCTGAGCTTAGACTGTCCTTCTGAACTCAACAAAACCCTTCACGCACCTCTAAACTAAGCAGACTTGGGAGCAGTCCAGGGTGCCCAAATCTCGGGGGTGGCAATGCCATTATCTGTCGAGTGGCTTCAGATCTCATTGGAGATGATTCACTCGGACCTCTAGGTCAGATTACTTCCCTTGTCCTAACTTAGCGTTACACCTGCCTACTGGCTTCCCTCTCATTTTCTGAGCTGTATTCCTCCAGGAACTCCCTTTCCTGCTCAGACCTCAGTTAAACATGTCCCTCTGGCCATTATGGCCAAACAGCGGGAGCCCCGTCATCTTCCAGGAGCTTATCCTGAACGAACATTGTTTGCTTATCTGGCGATACCCTTGTCCCTTCACCTACTGCCCATAGGAATGTTTCTGAAGAACTGATAATACCCAGAAGCAGCATATACAATTTTCCAAGAGATTGGAGGATGGTAGCATCCTGTCACGTCTACAATTAGCAGGCTTAGCTATTTTTAAGAAGCCCTTGCAACGTAAGGCTGTACTGACTCCACGGGAAACTCTAGTCACACTCTAAATTCACCTTTTTTTTAAGGTTTCTGAATATACTGTAACATCACAGGTCATGAACAGCTCTGTAAAAGACTTATAAACCTGCTGGCTCCCAGCAGGTACCTCAAATCAAGCCTTATACAGCTCCTGGACGTACTGGCACACTGTTAAAAACAAATCCCAATACAATCATTACTTTTTATCTTCAGGCAACTCAAAGTCTCTCTTTTCCCCCCAAAGCAGAAGGAAATGGAAAGCAGTATTAACCTTTCCTGTTAACCCAGTGCAAGGGCTTTCGGGTGTGAACAGAAATCTTCCTAATTTTAGGAGGCTTTGCAAAAAATTCCCTGAGATATCTTTTTGCTTGAGTGTCTGTCGGATTAGAGTCTTGTCCAAAGACCAGTGAAATTGGTGAGATTCCTTCTGTTTTCTCTGATAGAGTTTGGATCAAACCTCCAAAAATCCCCACTCGATTTACATCTATGAGCAGGTTGTCACGGCCACATGCCATGTCTGCTACTTCCCCACCTTGTCCTCTCACCAATACAAGAGCTGAATTCCCTTCCTGATCCACAGGCACCATCCGCTATAAAAGACGCACTACCTATCATCTCTCAATCATCTTTTTATAACTGTATGCTACAGGGTTTCTGGCTAGCGTCTGGTACTAAACTCCTAGTAGAGACACAATGTTGCCCAAAGGGATTTGACCCAAAAAGGATTTGGAATTTGAATTGGTCTGGCTTTCCAGCTCCTCTGTTTCCCTCACCCTACTGGCCTGTCTAGACCGTATGGTCTTCTGATGGAGAGCGAGAGTCCCAACAGGACCTCTGAACCTGGCTTTTGGTCAGAATCCAACAAACATTTTAAAATTTATTTAATTATGCAATGCTAATGCCTAAGAAGTGAGATCCAGTCAAAGCCTGGGATGCAGTTAACATCTGAAACAGGACGTTCAGATCCATTTTGGATTCCTATTTATAGATCAAGCTTAAATCTAACATAAACATGTTGATTGGCTTTAACAAGTAATACACTGCCCCAGGCTAGAGACATGGCCCTGTACAAGCTGTAAAGAACATATTTCAAAACAAATTCAAGCCCTCATCATCTCTTAATTTGTTCTTGTTCAGCCAATTCTGCTAACTTGTTTTTAAAGGCCTTTCTTGGTTTAGTCAAGAGAGTAAAAGACTTCTGGAGGGGAAGAGATCTGTGAAATCATTCAGAGGCTTTGTTGTACATTTTAAGTCCCCTCCTTTCATCTGGAATTGTACATTAAATCAATCTGTTGACTCTTGGCAGATTCATTGTTTTCTTACACAGTAAATCAATGGTGCTACATTCCATTATGTTTTTTATACATTCTCAACAGAACTTTTTCCCTTCCTTTGGATGAGATTTTTATAATTTCCTTTAGCACCTGAATTTAGGTTCAATATTTAGCATCCTGTCTTTTCCTTTTTTTTTCCCCCTGACTTGAAGCAGAGTCCACCTTAGTTAATTGCAGCATTTATTCACTGCGTGAGTAATCTTGCGTGCTTGCTTTCTAATTACTGCCTGTACAAACCGAAGGCATCGCAGGTTCAGAAATTAACTCAGTCAGGTAATGTTTCCAAACCTTTCCCACCATGGAATTTAAAGAATCAAAAAATAAAACCCAGCTAAACACAGGAATTACAAAAGCCTATTCTGCTCGCGGGCAATCCCACAGCACAGCTCCTCTGGACAGCAATGCAAGCAAGATCAAGACCACACTGCCTCTACAATGCACCATGCCATATTTGTTGTTAAACTGCTGACAGTGCTGCCACAATTATGCACAGACGTCTTGTAAATATGCAAGAAAATAGCTAACTATGGTTATTTATGCATGCAATAAACAGTTATGAAAGGGAAAGGAAATGTGCAATTGCCTGTGCATGTGCTGCTTCTGAAAACTGGGTTTCAGTGCTCAGTGGAAAAACAATTCTCTCTAGGTTCCTATTTATGGCAAGAGGAAATTTTCAGTGAATTAAATCAAATTAAGAGCTATCCCTTTATGCTGAACAAAATGAATAGGAAATATATATATTGATGCAAGGCACAGAATACCTCCTCAGCTTGAAAGCTCTGGGTAACCCTGTCCTTTTCAAGGCCAGCTCTAGGTGTCACTGCGGGAGCTGAATGTGATGCTCCTACCCATCCATGGATTTGTTCCATTTAAACTTTAACATCAAGAAAATGTCACCTTGGTGCTCCCTGCTCTTGGGAATTGCTTCTGTCACCGTTTTCATTTTAAAATAACACTGCACCTTACAGAGTCGTGTGAGCGGTTTGGATACATGGCGCAGGATCAATCTGGTCACCACTCTGCTCCAGAAATGATGCAAGCCCAGCACAGAAATTACAATGTGGCTAAGAAAGTTGTTTAGCTGCAGTTTGGATCTAATTACTGTAGGTATCAAGAACCCGCACAGCGAATCACCTAATTCTATTAGAGCCAAAGCAAATCTGAATACTGGGAAGAAAGCGGATAAAGCAGTATCCCATTTCATCTAATGCATGTAAGCTTGTGTATTTAACTGTCCCGCTTGCATAAAGAAGCCTGAAGATTGGGCATTATGAAGATTTCCAATTATTTTATACTTCTAACCTGGCATCTTTGCAGCTGCCTTAAAAAAGAAAACAAAAAGCAAAAGAACAAAAATTGACCATAAGGAAAAAACCCAGACAAATTAGAAAATATGCAGGAATATGCAAAAGAAAGTAACAGCCCTATAAATGTCCTTTGGTCAAATATATCGCTCTCTATTAATCAGCTTACATGCTGTTGAATCCCTGCTGCTGCTCTGCAGTAAAGCTGAAAACTGGCCAGTATTATTTTAAAACATATATTTTTAAACACCCGAAGAATTTGCAACATAAAATAAGAGATGCTGCACCATGTAAAAAAATATAATTATATTAACAATATGCTCTTTCTTGCTTTGTAACCTGACTGAAAGCTTCTGAAACCCTACAGAGGCAGGCAGTGGATGCTACCAGCAAAACTCAGATCCTGGCGTCTTTATATTGGCAGAAGTCCCCTTCCATTTCCATAGGCTTGATTTTAGACTGGGATTTATGTGTAGGAATCATTCCCTGTCCATTCCCACCGCAACCGATACCAATACCAAACGTACCTCATGTTTTAGTTTATGGAAATTATACTGAATCATTGATAGAAATCATGGCTCTATGTTTTTGTTAGGGGCACAAGAGGCCCCACCATGCTCTGAAGAGCCTTGTTCAAACATTAACAGAGAGACAATCCCATAGGAAATCGCTAATAACAATCATAAATCTTCCTCTGTGGGCCCGTGGCCCTTTCCCCCCGTTGATCTGAAAGCTCTATCAAAACCATAATTAATGGAAACCTCACGACATATCTAAATGACATATTAGGTGAAATCATGGCCCCAGGGAAGTAAATGGAAAAACTTCCACTTACGTCACCAGGGTCAGGATTTCACTCCTATTTTTTATGATAAGCATTTTGCTGCTAGGTTAACTGAAGCATAGAGAGGTGAAGCAACATACCCAGAAGCGCAAGTGAAGATCAAGCCCAGAAGATCAAGAGAAGAGTGAGTACTAAACAATTATTTCTCATTCCTACCTCCCTTTTTCTCCCACCAGCTTCTACATCCCTACATCAACCTTAACCATCCCACTGCTCTGCAGAAGTGACAGACTTCATGGCTCGAATGCTGCTGAGTTTGCTGCAGACACTGCTCTCCTCCTGCATAGACAACACAGCTGAGCTCTAAAGTGTTGAAGAGGTAATGTCGGGGTTTAACCCCAGTCAGCAACCAAGCCCCACCCAGCCGCTCGCTCACCCTCCCCCCTCCTGCTGGGATGGAGGAGAGAAT